ACTATATTACGCACTTTATGTCCATTTTTTTCAATCTCTTGCTTTATTTCTTCAACATTAGTGGTTGAGTGAATATATTTCAGAACAACTCTGTACGCTCTTTCACTTTTTACCTGATAAGTATGATAAGCAACATTGCGTTGTTTCAGAAGTTTAACAAAGTTTCTATAGTCTGCTATTGTTGAAACGTTAAATTTGATAACATTGTCAGCCAAGGTTTTTGTTGTGTAACTGTTATCGGGCAAAACCGGTTTTAGAACGTTAATCATATCGGGAAAATTTGTTACTCCGTGAATGTACACCGGCGGTGGTAATTCCTTTTTTGGCTGAGAAATTGCTTCAGTATTTGCTGATGATGACGATGGTTGATCATTAATTATTGATTTTTCATTATTGGCAAGAACATTGAATCTGTTAGTCAACTTTATAGTTTCAGTCGGCCTATTAATCCGTCTTCTTTTTGCACTCGTCACAGTTTGCCAAGAATTTGTCAAACTATTTTGCGCAGTATCAGTTTCCATGGCGGCTGAGGAATTTAACATTTTTTGAGAGGTTTGAATTAATTTTAAACGCAATTGTTCAGTAACAAAATCTGAGCAAGTTTGTGAATCATCATTTAGGACATTGTTTACTTCTGATAATGGTATGTTTAAAGAGGTGCTCATTGAGTTCCCCGAGGGGAGACTCATGAGTTAAGCAATGATTTCACTAATCACTAATAAACACTATTTATTAACACAAAAACTATCACAATAATTATTTAATTTAAGTACTATATATTACTACTGAACACTGTTTATACTGCAATAGCACAGGTATAAATCGCAGGTAGATATTTTATCTGTATTTAGATCCGACTGGGTCGGCTGCTCGTGGCGAACTCAATTTAACGTTTAAATGCTGAATTTCATTTTACTTAGTAAGTAATGAATACCAACAAATGTTTTTTGAATTACACATCGAATTTGTTACATAACTGATGATTTAAAACTAATATTGAGGCAAAGGGTTATAATATAATATTATCTAGAGTAATTAAGATAAGTATGTATATTGTGTTCATAATATTTCATCTTAAATTTTAATTCAATTCTAGTCTTGACCTTGACGTGCCTTGCAAATGTAAGTATATAGTATTATTTGTTTATAAGTTATCATATTCTTTCCGATTTGGGTAAGGTATTGGGTTGTATTTATTGTAAATTTTAAACTTTCATACTGTTGTTATTTCTATATTATTGGTATTTGAAAAAATGAAAATAATGTAAATAATAGCAACAAAAATTAACGTAATAGATTTACATTTTTCCGACTTATATTTTGATTTTGTGTAACCTGATATCAGTCAGAAGTGATATCCATTTTAACTTGAAAATATATATTAACAGTTTCATTTAAAGTGAAACATTTAAAAAAAAAAAAAAAAAAAAAAAAAAAAAAAATATATATATATATATAAACACAATTTTATAAATAACATATTCTTATTAAAATAATAATTCTTAGTGAAAAATAATCACTACAATAGCTTAATACAAAAACGAACAAAAAATTAACAATTTATTTGACAATATTAATGTTTCATGTTATTTTTAACTTTTGTAATTTCTAATGATACGAAGTTTATTTTTTACATTTATTTCCCGGTGTATACATATTATTTATTTTTTACATTTATTTCCCCCTTATACATCAGTGAAATTTTTAACTTCCCGTAGGGCGAGTTATAGTAATCGCAAAAAAATCGAAAATGAAAATTTTTGAATATCTTTACGTTTCAAAGGTTTCTGAGTATTTTGGCATACCTTAGAAAAAATGGATGTATGTGTGTGTACATGGTCTGTTCAAAAAGTACCCGGAATTACTAATAATTAAATTTCGCGGGTCTGGAGTGTCTGATTGTCAAAATTTTTTTTTATTGTGTTGGTATACATGCCCCTAAAGTATGATGAAATTTTCAGCTATATTCACTGTTTACTTTGTCTGTGGTAGTCGCTAAGGTTTGACGTGTTTTTCTGAGCTCGGCGATTTTTACAATGGAAGAATTGAAAAAGTCAAAGAATTTGTATTAAATTTTGCGTAAAAAATGAAATAAAGTGTTGCAAAGTGCAAAAATTCACCAGATATGGCTCCGTGTGACTTTTTCCTATTCCCAAAGTTGAAGAGACCCATGAAAGGACGGCGGTTTTCCTCGATTGAAGAAAATCGCCGAGAGTGCTCAAGGACATATCAAAAAGTGAATATCAAGGGTGCTTCGAAAATTGGAAAAAACGCTGGCATAAGTGTATTATATCTGGGGGAGACTACTTTGAAGGGGACCACATTAATGTAGACGAATAAATAAATATTTTTTTGAAAAAACGAAAATTACGAAAACTTTTTGAACAGACCTCGTATGTGTTTGTGTGCGTGTGATACAAATTTTCGTCGACGATTTCGGGAACACCGATCAATCGATTTGAATAATTCGAAAAAATAATTTGAAAAAACATTCGATTTGTATTGATAAGGAGACGTGCTGATTAGTTTTTGGCAAATGTAGGCCTAGCCGTTCCGAAGAGGCAAAAAGTGCCAAAAATGGTAACTCAGTTTTTAAGAGAACGGAGCGTCCGATTTTAATAATTCAAAAAACATTTTACTTGTATTGACAAGATGAAGATTTGATAAAATTTTCATGAAGGCAGGTCTAGCGGTTTCGGAGATCTAATGAAAAAAGTAAAAAAAGCCATTTGGCGGTCAAAAATGATCATTAGACACATGCACATCAAATTATCAGATATTTTATAGAGATTTTAACAATAAGTATAAATTTTGTTTACATTCCTATGGGTTCCGTACCAATGTTTATCCGTTAGACGGCGACGCGGCGCTTACGCGCTTTGACATTTCGTCTCTATGCAGTTAAAGCAGTATGATTGCTTTGAAAAAAAGTTCAGAATTTCCAAAATATGTCAAAATAAAGAAAACATTTTTTTTCAATAAAAATTTTTTTGTCAAATCTATAGTTTCTCAAAAAACTAATTTTTTCGAAGTAAATTTTTTTTCAAAAATGTTAATCGTTTTTAAAAAAAATAATAATTTTTGTTAAGGGAAGTTCAAGCAATTTGCCTTAAGGCACGATGCCATGCACCCCACTAGTTTATGTTAAACTTAAAACTTATGTTATTGACTATATATTTTGGAAACAGGTGAAGTGATACAGCCTTGGTCTTGCTTCCACAAGGTTTTGTGATCAAATGGCGCATTGCAGCAATCTGATAGGATAAATGTGTTTTCAATAAAAATAGACCTTCTGAGCATTTTGCAAAAAGTTAAAATATCATCAAAATTAGGGTTGCCTTCAAATGGCCACCTACAACATTAATAAAACCATTTTGCCTTAAGGCAAATGGCATGAACTTCCCAACTTGTGTGAGTAATAGACTTATACGATAAGAAGTCTACATATTAATTTATGAGTGATTTATAAGTAAACTGACCTGCTGTATAGCGTCATAATTTGATGAACTGCTGTAGGTTATTACATTTTATATCAATTATTTATTATATGTTAATGAAAAACGAACACGTGCTTATTACACAAACCAAGTATTTTCTAAAAGCACTGTTTGATAATCTTTATTTTAAAATAAACTAGAAATATTTATAAACTAGAAATATTTTAGCACGTTTATTGAGACCTAGCACTCAATCGTCATACTAAATTTTATTAAAATCGTAGAACTTTATTTTTTTAACAATCTATAAGCTTAGCTTCGTAAGCTACAGCTTGGTTAAATAAATAATACATTCGTATAGTTTTTGGCTAAAACGCGAACGATAAATTTTGCATTCTTGTACTAATTCTCAAAACACGGTTCGGCTATTTTTGAGAAAACGTCGATGATTTTGGCAAACGCTGAAAAAACGCTGCTATTTTTTTCTAACTTTGATGAATTATTTAATTTAAACTACTTGTCGTAGGGCTATAATATTTCAGTATGTTTTATAAGACCGTGATATCTATTGTCGAAAAATGAAAAATTCAAACTGGTAGAAAGTTGCATTTTGCATTGAGACAAGTTGTAAAATCTTCCCGATAGATATAATAATTGACTTTGAGATATTTGAATTGAAATGGAGATTTAGAATTTAGATAACATTTTCAACTGTTTATTTCGAAAATCAAGTTTTTGTTTTAAATTAAATCTGAACATTGCAATTTTCAATTGAATTTTCTCGCACGCATTTAAATTATATGTAATTATAAACTGACAAACAATAGTTCTCATCGATTTACATCGAATGGCTTTTAAATTTTTGAAGTCGGTCCAGCCGTTTTTGAGAAAACGTCGATTTAAAGTAAAAAATGTGTTCACATTAACACACGCATTCTTTTTCCAAAATTGGTCTTTACCGAAATCTAATCAGCACAAGTCCCAAACAATAATTTTCGAACTATTTTTGAATTTTCAAAATTGATTCGGGAATATTGGCTAAAGCGTGGATATTAAATTTTCCAGTTTTTCTAATTTTAAAGAATTAATGCTTTTATAAAGATTGTAATTGATATGAATATAAAATATGTGCATATTTACAATCATGCGAAAGAGCATAGTTTTTGAAAACAGTGAATGTTATCGAATCCGTTACAACCGATGATCTAATGATTTATCTTGAGCCTGTTAAGCTCATGTATCATTAGTATCGTGTGACATTGAACATTCGTGTATGATAAAAACCGATATGAAGAAGAAAGGAAACGAAAATATTAAACGCCGCCTCCTAAAGTGAGTTAACCGTTAGCTACTGGGTGATGCCGCGTGATATTTCAGATTTTACTTGTGTGTCCATTTGGTTTATTACAGTGTCGGCTGCGGAAGACGTCGTACTAGAAATTGTCTGTGTGCACGCGCTGAAACAAGTCGAAAACCAATGCATTAAAACAATATAAATAAATCATTTAACATTTTTTTTAATCACTAAATTCAACTCGCCATGACGCCAGTGTTTATCTGTCATTCGATAGTGTGTTTTTTATCTATGCCGGTAGTGTTGAAACAAGGTGCTAATAATTCGGATGTACCATCGAAAATATTAGAAGAAAACTCACAGTATTTGTACGAGTATTTTAAAAATGAAAAGGCAAATCCTGATTACAATGAAGATAACACCAGTACTTTATTACCGGATTTGAAAAATCAAAATCCAACGAAGGAGGGCAGTGTTCTGCCTACGAATTCGCCGATATCAATAATTCCTTATGTAAGCGAAGCGGAAAGTGAAGTAGTTAAAAATTCCGATGAAAACATAAAATCGAACTACGTATTCCTAAACAAAGAAGCAGATACTAAGTTGAATTTATTCAAACCGAACGTTAACTCACCGGTTATTCTTAAAATTTGGGGTGCCGGAACTGAATCTAAATTTCCACCTTTAATAGAAATTTTAGTGCAAAGAATACAAAGTATGTTTTCTACTTATATCTACGAAGACTTGAGTCGTCCTGCCGCAATGAAAGATCCTGTTATTGCGACGATAAAACCCATCCAAGAAACATTTAATTCATCTTCAAATCATACCGAAACTGACAATAAAGTTGCTTCAACCAACAACGTGCCTAACGTTCTGGAAAACGAACCGCCGTCATCAGAAGATAAATTAACTAATTCGGCAATTCAATCAATACAAGATCAATTAACGTCGGATCAGATTGACGTGGAATCTAGAAGAGGACATGTGAATCCGGTTCGATCTGTCATCGAACCAGTTAGTTACTTCGAAACTTTTGCTACAGACTATGATATATATTAATTTATAGCTCATATAAAATTTTGGTTCTTTTATATTAAGATCGATATATTATGGTGTTCATACATTATATGATAAGAACTCATGTAAGTTTTTTTATGTAAACATTTTTTTTACATGTGTTAGTATTATGAATTTTGATACTTTTGTAAGAATGATGGTAATAAATTTGAAAAACTTTATTTAATTAGTTAATAATTTATTAACCAATAATATTCTAGCGCATTGTAATTTATTTTATTATCGTATTATTCATTAAAGAATTAAATATATACGTAGATTGATATTTATTAGGTAATTTTACCAATTCAGTTCTAATACTCATTATTTAAAACGAAATATCAAGCTAGGAGAAAATATATTGCGGGTTGATAAACGAATTAAACGTGATGAACTATTTTATATTTTAAACATACAAAATTAAATATATAATTTTTGAATAAAAAAAATAACTTTAAATAAATTTAATCAAAATGTGTGAAAATTGATCGCTGTAATATAAATAAATTTTGAATTTAATAAATGATGTATATGTCAATATAATGATAACATAATTTTGGAATTGGAATCGAAATTGTAAGTATTCTTTTTAGAGATAATAAGCCATAGAAAAGATTCACGAATTATGACCGATAACTAAATCTAATTAATTCATTTTTGCTTATTGATTTTGGTATCGATTTTTAATTATACTTGAATAAAAATGAATGATGCAAGTAATTATTTAATATTACTATTACTAAAAGTAATCACACACACATAAAAACAAAGCTGAATTATTTAAAAAACCATTTTATCAAAAATCTTAATATTTAGTAATTATTAATTCAAATGTTAGTTTTTATGTTAGTTTGATAACACTGCAATTTTTTTCTTAAATCATTAAAAAGCGTATTAAAAGTGAAACATATATAACACATGGTAAAGAATAATATTCTTACTTATCTAAATAAATCACAACGTTTTACAACATCTATTTTGGGGACAATTTTCTTCCATTTTAAAATTTTGCGATTAACAAACTAAATATTCCGTGTACTTAAAAATGTGTAAATATGTTGTGGGTGCCGTAAACTGTTCGAATGTGGGCTAGCACAAACTAGTCCTGGGTTTGCTGTTTTGATTTCCGCTACCGCTTAAGCCCGACATCAGGCAGCTTTGATATGAAATCTCCACTTAAAGTTATAGATCTCAAATATAGCCTCAAGTGAAAATCGCCTCTCGCGGGTATAGCTGCATATACACACACACACACACATATATATATATATATATATATATATATATATATATGTGTCAACAATTACATTGAGTGCATTATGTAGTTAATTAGCCACAACTGAATTGGACTACTGGGTTGCCATCCATTCAAGAAGCCCAAAACAATTACTGAATGTCTAGTACGACAGACTGTAATTAGAATTATAACATAAAAATTAATCAGAAATAAATGTTCTGGGACTGTATGCTAAAACGATAAAAATAAATAGTTGTTAACAATATTAACGTCGTTCAAATTTGATATGTTCGCATTATTTTGTAAACACATCTCGTATATCCATTTCATAGGCTAAGGAATAAATAATTACCTATATGAATAAATTAATTAACAAGAATTGATAAATATAATTATGGATATACTGACAAAATAAAGATAACCATTAGCAAAGATAACCATTAACGAAAATCAAGGAAATTTAGTGATCTTATTCTACACCAAAAATTTCAATTTATTATTTTTCATTTTAACTGTAAAATGCATATACAAGCAATATTTCATAATATAACTGCCAAAAGTGGCGGGAATTGCTCATCTGTAGCATCCCTGACTCACACGCCAACGGTCCTTGGATCGATCCTCTTCAATAACATAAAAAATATGTGGAAAGTTGCTTAGAAATTGAATTGTTAATTTAAAATTGCATAGAACTTAAAAGTAGGATTTTAAAATAGTTAATTTGAAATTAAATAGAATTTGAGCCGTTGAATTGAATTTGATAAGATAAGAATAGAACTGAAAAATGCTAGAGTTAAATTAAATTGAATTTGAATAAAAAGTTGAAAGTAAGAAGAAAAAAAGGAAGATTAGGATTGGGCAAAATCAGATTTAGAAGAACAAAAAAGGATTGAGATATCACTTTTAAAGAGCCTTGTAAAGATAAAATAAGATATAAACAACAGATAGTATAATATGTATATGCAAGATAATGTAGAAAATAGGAAGATGCGCGACAGCATGCTGTGCGCTTATTTTTTATAAGACTACACTTCTATTTACAACTAAAATAATGGATTAATCAAAACCTAATTATAAACCTTTCATAAAATCTTTAATTATACGGTTACAAATGAGGGCCATAACAAACTAGTACCGCCTTCGATCGCAATATCAGGCAGAATGATATTACATTTCTACTTAAGGTTATGGATCTAAAGTATAATCTAAAATAAAAATCGCCTTTTTTGGCATTGCTAAATATCTCAATTAGTGATATCACAATTAGACAGGACCGTGGTTGCTTTCGAATAAACATATAATTTTTTTCTCTCAGATGTCACTACGCCGCCGAATTCATTTGTGCGTTTCATGTTTTATAAATACTAATGACTTTATCAAAACCGTATCAGACATGCATAATAACTGTGTATTTGCCGGACTCAACCTACCTGATAAAACTACAGTAAATAACATATTAAATAATAAAATGAAACTAAACTGGTTATCTGTAATAAGAGTTCTCACATCCTCTGAATAGAAAATGTTCTACATCATTGTTGTTCAACCTTTTGAAGTAATGTTTACGCAAATTTTTTATTTTGATTACGACACATGATACGTGTCAATAAATGTAGAAAAACCAGCGATATATTGCTGAAGCTAATCGTTTCATAAAAAAATATTATTAATTATAATTTGTGAACTAGTTTACATAGACGATATAAAACTATTTTAATTGTTTAATGTAAACAAAATCACACAGAATTTATCATCTTGGTTTTCGCAAAATAAAATTCAAATAATTTAAATAATTTAGAAACCGTTCTAAATAATTTAGAAGTTCTTTCTTGTATTAAATTGAATTGTACTAACGTATATAGTACTTTTAGCTTTATTAACAAATGTTTGGGTGTTATAGGAAAAATGCGAGGTTCAGATCTATTTTTCCATCGGGTGGAATTAAATAGATTGACCACCACTGCTCTATAAATAACTGTTGCTAAAGAATCTATTCTCATAGATTAAGGCGCGCTTCTGGTGCGTTTTTAATTACACATTACCGTTGATCAGAATATACTTAATAAAGGTGTGATGTATAAAAATATGAGGTGACATTAGTCAAGTCTAAATTAAAAGGTTCACAACCCAATTCCAATTTTGTTTAACCAGAATTTTAGGACAAAAAGATTATAGAATATGAGGAATTCAAGATTTGCAGTACATATTTGTTAAAATCAGAAAAATTGAAACCAGAATCCCGATTTTAGTCAATTGATATTGAATTTAATACAGTTAAGAGAATTTTATTATAAAATTTTTGGAACACGGATGCCAGGAAGAATATTTGCTCTTTATTTGAACAGCAAACTTAAGGCTCTTATGACCTATTGTAATAAATTTACTTACTAATTACGTTGTTTTTTATCGATAAGATGAAAACTCAAACTAGCTGTAAGTGGAATTCTGTCTTAAGGCAATTAAGGCATCGTGCCTTAAGGCAAATTGCTGGAACTTCCCTTACCAAAAATTATTAATTTTTTAAACACGATTAAAATTTTTGAAAAAAATGTACTTTGAAAAAATAAGATTTTTGAGAAACTATATATATGGACAAAAAATTACTTTTTTTTGAAAAAAAAAATTAAGTAAAAAAAAAAAAAAAATGTTCTTTATTTTGACATATTGTGGAAGATCTGAACTTTTTTTCAAAGCAATCGTACTGATTTAACTGCATAGGGACAAAATATAAAGCGCGTAAGCGCCGCGTCACTGTCTAACGCATAAGCTTTGGTATGGAACCCATAGGAATGTTAACAAAATGTATACTTATTGTTAAAATCTCTATAAAATATCTGATAATTTGATGCGCATATGTCTAATGATCATTTTTGACTGCCAAATGGCTAATTTTTTTACTTTGTTCTCCATATCTCCGAAACCGCTAGACCTACCTTTATGAAAATTTTATCGATTATTCATCTTGTCAATACAAGTGAAATGTTTTTTGAATTATTTAAATCGGACGCTCCGTTCTCTTAAAAACTGAGTTACCGTTTTCGGCACTTTTTGCCCCGTATCTTCGGAACGGCTAGACCTGCCTTCGCCAAAAACTAATCAGCACGTCTCCTTATCAATACGAATCGAATGTTTTTTGAATTATTCAAATCGGTTAATCCGTGTTCCCGAAATCGTCGACGAAAATTTGTATCCGCACATACATACACACACGTACATACATACACACACACATACACACACACACACACACATACATCCATTTTTTCTAAGGTATGCCAAAATGTTCAGAAACCTTTGAAACGTAAAGATATATAAAAATTTTCATTTTCGATTTTTTTGCGATTACTATAACTTGCCCTACGGGAAGTTAATAAGCTTGGCTGATGTATTTCATATAAATAGTGTTTAATGAATGAATAAATTAATATTAATCCTTATAAATATTAATTAAATTATTGCGGGACACACCAGTCTGCATAAAATAGTTATTTCGATCAAAACCGTAGTAATTTTGAATAGATTGAATGAGCAAATAATTTCAAGTGATGAGGCTTTTGAATTGATGTTTTTTGCTTTGAATTGAAAGATTTTTAACTTTAGAAAGGAAGTTATAGTAATAGCAAAAAAATCAAAAATGAAAATTTTTGTATAAATTTACGTTTCAGAGGTTTCTGAACATACCTTAAAAAAATGGGTGTATGTGTGTGTGTGCGTGCGTGTGTGTGTGCGGACACAAATTTTCGTCGACAATTTCGGAAACACGGTT